TGTTAATTTACGGTAGAGGCATATCACCGATGATACGCCGTAATCGAAATAATAATAATAATAACAATCGAGATTACGCACGCGACAGTACCTGCTGTCATGTATAGTAATTTTTACTATAAAATTACAATATTATGTTCATTTAAATTTTACCTATTATAATTGTTATTTTTTTTGGCTAGTACATGCTTCTTTTACTTATAAAATTTAAAAGAACGTTGTTAAATATAGTATCCAAATATAATTTCGTTTATGTAAAAAAAATATTATTTTTTTTTTTTATTTTCACTTGTGTAATAGATTTATTGGTTATTTAGTTAATAATTAAAATAACAACATACTTAAGATTTTTTATATAGTTATATTCCAAAAACAAATAACAATAGGACATATATACATTTTTCAAATAAGAATTCACCATGGGCGGCTGACAAAAATCTGGTCGAGTCCGTGCATGTTATATAACAAATTTAATACTAATTAATTGCAAGTGTTGGAGTATTTAATTGTTCCAAGTTTTATCTTGGTGTCCATGTGCGACGCGGTGCGTTCTCATTTAAAAAATACTATGGGTTTTTTTACAATAAATAATATATAAAAAAAAAAAAAAAAATGTATAAAATTAATATTTAATATAATTAGGACAGCTATTTAATAATATTGTTTTTAAATATCATACTAGTTATTACATTGTAGTCTTAGCGAAAAAATATAAGTAATATAAATATAATATGGGTAGTACAATAAAAAAATTATTTTCAAATAAACATTTTAAAGAAACAATAAGTAAACTAATTGAAACACCTTAAGAATACCTTTTTATATAGGTAGTTTCGGAAATTGCAAAGCATTATGATTTTAAATCGGGAATTGATTACGAGTTAAAACAGAAATACGGAAATAATTTAATGTTACCAGAGAGTAGTTTCTATGTATATATATAAATACTACATTGTTTTAAATTTACAACAGAATCTACTATGTTGAAGTGTTAGAAAAAAAAATTAGGGTTACTGTCTAAGTATTGGGGCGTTAATTGTATTCAGGCTCGACCGGAAGTTGAAGTCTATGCACGCCTACGCATACAACATTATCAAAATGACAATCGGCTTATAATATTTATAATTAATAAAAATAAAGACAAAAAATTAACAATCTACGAGAACAAGTACGTAGATTTCATGAACTTGAAAGATTTCCGCATATAAAATAAAATAGCGATGAGTAAACTAGGTCAACTCGATAATTTAAAGTGGGACACAGTTAGAGTAATGATACGGTTTTTCGTAATACAAACATTGAAATAATTATATGTAGACTACTAATATATATTATATTCTAAGCCACTGCATAATGTAGTGATGAGGATAAATAAATTATTTTAGATCAATTCCATAATTCTAAACTAGCGGGACACCTAAAATTTAATAAAACATTTAAAAAAAATAAAACAACAATATAATTGGCCAAATATGACACAATATGTTCAAAAAATGTATTAAGAATTGCAATTCCTACCAAAAGAATAAAATAACAAATGGGAAAATAAAAATGCAATAACATCGACTTTGAAAAATCCTTTAAAAAAAATATTTTTAGATATTGTAGGACCATTATTAACAACGTTATCTGCAAATAATTATATATTAACTATGCAGGACGACTTAACCAAATTTTCATTGAAAGTACTCATCCTTAATCACACACACTGAACTAAAAATCATCATCATTATAGGTTGATTTGATAATTGTGTTATTGAAATACGGCCAATAAAGGCAATTGTTAATATTAAAAATTTTATTTTATTAAACTCAAATCAAAAAAATGATTTATTAAATTAAAAAAAATTATTATTAGTTTTATAACTTTATTTTATAAATTTGTATAGAAATATTACGAGACGGTTAATTGAATAAATCTTAATACTATTATTGCAAGATACATTTTTTAAATAAATTATCCCAATTTTTTAAATTAAAAGTATATTTATTGAATCAATGAATAAATATATTAAATTAAATCAACATTATTTTATTATTGAACTCACAACCATATTATCAAATTGTATCTATACACATTGTATGGGACTAATTTAAATAACAAATGTCAAGATAAAATTTAATTTACAGTATTTTATATTTAAAATAAAAACCACTATAAATGTAATAACATAATTTGATTTGTGTATACCTTAATATGAATATATAAACAAAATATAATATTAATTTATAACGTAGTACAATAAGCTATGTAAATACAGTAATAATTCATGCTAACAATTATTTTAATATCAAGTCTGATGGACTTGCAAAGTTTTCTTTAAGAAAAAAATTCCATTACATCTAATAACTCTCAAATTTCTGTAACTAGAAAATCGAAACATTTAAAAAAAAACTCATCATTTGGTGGTTATATGTTTATACTTAATTTGTTTTTTTATTTAATAATTCATATAATGGTTATTTTGCAATTATTTTATTTTGTCGCTTTAAGGACCAGTTGATGTTGAAGGCAAATTTCCACCTAACTCCAACTGTATCTCAGCAAACGTTTTGTTTTTTGTTTCTGGAACGAAAATCCATACAAACACAGCGGCTAATATGCAAAATATACTGAACATTATGAAAAGACCATTAAATCCGATCAGTTTTGTAATTTCATTCGAGTAGTACGTTACTAAAAAATACCAAACCCCAGTTCGTAGCAGTTGCTAAGCTTGTGCCATAGGGTTTCACCTAAACAAAAATCGATTAAAAAATTAAAATCATAATATTTTATACTAAAATTATCAATAAAATATTTTAATAAAAACTAAACATACTTCGTTGGAGAAAATCTCTCCCATTACTACCCACGGGACAGGGCCAAATCCTATAGCAAAAGCCAAAATATATAGAACAACAAATGTTAAGGGTAACCATGCAAAAGCTTTAGGCGACATATCATGTTGTATCATTATGAAGTAAATTGCTAAACCAGCACAGCTTATGCTCATTAGAATCGCTGAAACTAGCAATAATATTCGTCGACCGAGTTTATCAATTACTGCCATTGCAATGCATGTTATAATCACCTGCAACATAATGAAAAATAAATAAATTTGTAAAGTCTATTAATAAATTTAATTTTATGTGATTTTACTGATATTGCTTACCTACATATTAGCTCTATATTTCATAAATTATTATAAACATTTATATTAATCAACAGTAAACTTTAATAATTGAGTAGGAGTGTATGGTTTGCATTAAATGTGTTTTTTGATAGAAACTTGTTTTATACAATTAAGTGGATTACAATATTAAAAAAAAGTTAATAGTTTAAAATTACATAAATATACATAATTTGAAATACTGTATGCCCTTACCATTTACAACTAAAATTTACATTTTAATCTTAAAAATTTAGGTAGTAACTTAAACATTTTAGTTAAGTTAGAGACACTATGCACACGCAACATGTTAATACTCCTTGATATGCCTTGCCGTGGTATTACGTGTGATATAAAAATGTGCCCATTATATACAACGCGCAGAGAATAACACACTCTATATTATATATATATATATATATATATATATATATATATATTTCCATTAAGTAATTTTATATTCAATAACGTATTGTTATTGCATTGTAAGTTGACGTCTACCTAAGCAGTGATTATTTTTTATATAACAATGGATTGTTCATATTTCACACGTTCATCTTACAGTAATTGGGATGAAGAGGTCGAATAAATGAAATAGCTGAGGCACTATATATATTTTAAATTAAACCAATAACAGTCGTAGATATTGGGTTCGTGGAAAAAGATGAAAAAGGAATATTTATGAACTTATTTTCACATTTGATGAATGACCCTAAAAAGTTTGATAAGCGATTCACTTTGTTGCTCATCACACGTCACACGTTTTTCAAAAATGTTTAAAACGTGGAATCGAATGGCGAAATGCGTTGCGTGTTATAGAAATTATCACAAACCGATATATGTTAAAAAAAAAAAAAAAATGGATTAACGCGCGATTTAAAATTCGTGGCGTGTAAAACATTTACAATAACATGATTGCTTGCTCGCTTTAGAAAGGACGATATAAGAAGAATAAAATCGATACTAACTTGAACCACTCCAACACTTATGGATGCAGTTTGAGGGCTTATCGAACTTTCAGTTATTTTGAAAATATAACTCATGTAGAAAACTATCACGTTGATTCCACTTGTCTGTTGGAAGAACATACAACCAACACCAATGAAAATAGATTTGCGATTAACTCTGTCCGCCAGAACTTGCATGAATGAATTCTTTTGATTCCTCTGCGTCTCAATTTCATTCTATAAAACACAACCCAAAAAAAACGTATCAGTCATATGGAAAAACATCACTATCTTGAATGTACATATATGATATATCTTTGTACAACCTTTATACTAGACAATTCCTTGGAGATAGCATCATCGTTTCCGTCTCGGAATTTCTTCAATGAAACCTTGGCCTGTTCGTCCTTATTTTTACTCAACAGAATATACGGAGATTCAGGGATCATGATTGCTCCCAATACATGAAATAAGGCCCATATACCGCACAGCACGTTGAACACGA